CTCCATGTTCTAGAAATAGCAGAGAGCACTGTGACTTGGAAATAAGGTTTCAGGGGATGAATTACAGGTGATAAGAGAAGTAATTCTGGAGCAGTTATTTAGGATCTTGTCAACCATTATAATGCCTGGCTTTCATTGTGAGATGAGAAGCTATTGGATAATTTTAGCAGAGGATCAAAATGATTTGTCTTAGTTTTACCAGGATCACTCAGCTATTGCATCGTGAAGAATCTCTAAGGGAGTGAAGGTAGGGAGAAGGAGGCAGTTTGAATGAAATGTTTCAGACAAGAGCATTTGGTGACTTGCTCAGTGATAATCTTGTTGAAAAGTGGTGAAACTTTACATTTGTTCTTCAGGTGGGACTGAAACAGTATGCTTCATATTGGGTATAAGGTATAAAACAAAGAGAGGAATCTGAGATGACAATAGTTTTTTCACAATCAGCTAGAAGGATGGATTTACTGTGAACTGAAATGAGGAACAGTGCAGGAGAAGGAGAGGAGAGGAGGACAAGATTAGAAATTCTGAGATGCCTATTAAATACTGAAGTGGAGATTCTGAGTCAGTAGTTGGAAATAAGAGCCTGGCGTTTGAGTAGAGGTGTGAAGAAAACACACATTTGGGAATTATCCATGTACAGGAGTATTTGATGCCATTGACCTGAAGAACATCAACAGGGACAGGTAAGGCAAAGAAGAGGTTCAGGGACTGAGCCCTGTATGACTTCAACCTGAAGACTAGAAGTAAGAGAAGGAAAGAGGAATGAGACCATGATAAACTCTCAGTTTCTAAAGAAAAAATATTCAGAACCATGTGCTTCCTACAAGGCCAGTAAAGAAAGTGATTCCTAGAAGTGAGGGTGGTCAACCCTGTTGTATGTTGCTGAGTTGAGTACAAAGAGGATGGAAAAGTAACTGTTTTTTCAGTTGTGTAGTGCTTGTTACCTTGACCAGAGACATTGTTGCAGAGTGATTGGGGCAAAAAACAGTGAAATATGTGGGAAATTTTATAGAGGGAGATGTTTCATAATACTCATAATTAACCTTATGGACAATAGTTAGCACGGTTGCGATGATTATGGTTTTATAGTTAAACAACTATAACCCCAAAAGTATTGAAACCTTGACTAATTTCAAATTGGCAGGAGGGCTGTAGAGACTAGTTATGTGGCTTTGTGTTGTAATCTGTTACAGTCAAACCTTCATAAAATGTGGACAAAATCATGAAAAATTCATCTGTCAAACAGATGAGAGACACCAGCAGCAACACAGCTTCTAAATTGTGCTGTGGTACTTTCAAGCTGACCCTAAAGCATGGTGTAGTTCAGCCATTTGGAACAATTATTAGAGATATGCAGATCCCCTGCCCCCTAGGGCCCCTCTTGGTGTGCCAGCGTTCTAGACGTCTACGAAGATGCCTTCCCCAGGCTGCAGGGAAGGCTCACTGCCTCCTTCCCAGTGAAATAACATTGCTGATCATCTCAAACCAGCAGCACATTTCTTAAACTTCCTTGGAAATTTCCCCACAAGTTTTCAGATAGTTAAATATTCTGAAGAAAAATATAGAAATATCAGACCCAGTTTTCCAAAAGCACAATGAAAAGAACCTGAATCTCACACATCAGTATGTACGTAACTAACTGATACCTGTTATCAGTATATTGCTAACATACTTGGGGCAAAGTTGACCTGGTGCTTGTCTCTGACACAGTAATTCCCAAGGAAAGGTTTAATTTTGATTCTTTAAATTACTTAACTCCTGAAGAGCAATGCACACTCTTTGGAAAATAGATACATTATTAAAAAGCAAGTGAGTGACCAGAAGTCAGGAAAGCAGTGTTTCTGCCCTTTGTCTCACATTGAAACTACTTCACAGTAACATGGGAGTTTCCTACTGAAATGTGAGTTTCTTTGCCAATAAACCGGGGTCTAGAGGATTTTCACAGGTTATCATTTCATTCCAGCAAACGTATTATCCACTTCTTCTATTAGGTAGACATTTGAAGGTGACTGTTGCATTGCTTTGGATTAAGCTATATTAAAAATGAAAGCAGTGGTCAGATGGATTAGGTTTAGAATAAGCCAATATTAGACAAGCCAAAGTTGTTCCTTTTTTTTTTAAATGCAGTTTTGTATCAGGGGGAGAACTCCCAATACAGGTTCTTAATTCCACTCCCGAAGTCACTGCCTCATTTTGCACCCCATGGCTTTTCTTAAACATGAGGAGCAAGAGCATCTTGGCAGAAACATAAATCAAGCCTGTGGAAATACACAAAATGGGTGTACACACACATGTGAATGTGTATGTGAGTGTGTATTCTTTTTTAAAAAATTGATTCAGAGAAAGAGGAAGGGAGAGGAGAGAGAGAGAGATAGAAACATTAAATTGTTGTTTCACTTACTTATACATTCATTGGTTGCTTCTTTTATGTGCCCTAGCCAGGGACCAAACCTGCCACGTTGGTGTATCGGGATGATGCTCTAACCAACCGAACTATACAGCCAGGCCTGTGAGTGTGTATTCTTAATGAATATATCCTTTATTTTTCAGTTTTGGACCATAATCTTTGTTCAAAATAGTGTTTTCCCAAACATATGCACATACAGAAACAGTCAACTTCAAGTAGCAATTTCTTCAAGTAGCAACTATCAACTAGTAACATGATAAATGATCAGATGTTCTTTTATTTGTGAGAGATGATAAAATAGTTAACAATGTAAATTCGTTATGTAGCTGTTTGAAACTAATTCTCACCGTACTGGAATTTATTTGAAGTACCGACTTTGTAATTAAACTGAGTGATAGTCTGACAATATGATACATAATTCCATAATTTTATTTTGTATTCTCTGTATAAAATGTGTTTTTTATTATACTGTGACTAAGTAAATTGCACTATTGTATATGCAAAGCAGATTTTTTTTAGGTTATTCAATAAATTATTTAGACTATAGTTCAATGCAATAATATTTTTTTCAATAAAAAGCTTAATGGTATTAAAGTGTTGGTCATGTATTTCTAATAAAAAGGACACCAAAATATAAGAAAATGATAAAAAATATGGTATGAAAATATTGTGTATTTTATACTGCTGAATTTAAAATATATTTAACATTTTATTTATTACTGTGTATATTTATATTATATATTTAAACGTGGGTATTTCTTAGACTATTTCTTAAAATTTTAGTGTTATAAAGTCATTTCCTCAAACCTAAAATAAATATGACTTTAAAGATTTTATAGATGTATTCTTTGTTAAAATATATTATGCATATCTTACATGAAGTCTTTCTGTTTGTTTGCTTAAACCTGTGATCTAATCCTTTGAAATGTCCCAGCAAAGCTCTATAAAGTTTCAGAATGTGTTCTCTACCTGATAATATAATCTAGACATGATGGCAGTCTTCACATTTATAATATTTTTAATGTAAAACTGTGAAAATACTTTCATTACTATTCTCAAAAGGACTCAACTCACTAAGAAATCTCTTTCATCAAACATGTCTAATAATGTAGGAATGTGGCCTGAGGTTTCACTTACCTATCACTTCTCACGTTATATTCTTTATTTTGCCCTCCCAAGACAGTAGTACACAGCTCTCCTCTGCTGGACCTCAGTGTGATACAATCTATGCAAAATTGAAATTCATGTGTTCCTAGAAATGACCACTAGGTGTTTTCTTGTGCTTGAATCACATCTATCCTTACTCTTCCCTTTAGTCACCAACAAGCTCTAAACAAGTCTAAACACTCCTTGCTTCTGCATTTTGATTGGATGCCCCGACACTGCATGTTATCTAATGAAAAGTACTCTGCTAAGCACTCCAATCCTGGGGTCAAGTCCAAGCTTCCAGTAGACACATGTTTCAGATACCAATCATCTGCATCCTGAGACTTCTACCCTAGATTCCTTATTTCTGTGTTGGACTCTTTATTAGAACCCTGCTAAGTAATCAAGAATTACCTTTGGCACAACATACTATATCAATAAACACAAACATGCACACACATACACATGCATTTATACATTGATTATTGGCAGAGTCATGGCCTAACATCTCATAATTAATTAGTCACCATTTATTGATTGCCTACTATGGGCCAGACTGTTTACCTCATGTTCTTCCCACTAGCTCTATTCCTGGATTCCTTCTGAACAGGAATATAACTTTCTCTCAAACATGATAGGAGATACTACCAATGATACTACCAATGACACAGAGCCATGGAAGCGAATGGTGACATATGGTTTGCACTCAATGTCTGCCCCTCCCTAATGTATGAACTTTCTTCCAGGTCTGACTTTTCTTTGCTTTCTGTATTAATGCTCATATAGAAATGTTGTCACTGACATAAAGTGGATTTCACATACTTTTGACATTGTCTTCTTTTATCACATCTGGTAGAATTAGGTCAATTTTCAAATGACATTTGTTTATGCTTTGTGTCACAGAGATGAAACTTAGCAAAATTTTGTGAATTTACTTAGCATTAAATAAATGAATTCTACTCAGCAGACTGGCACACTCATGAGAATGCCATGCTAATTAAAGAATCTTTAGGTGAACAATGAAAAGATTAAACATTGTGTTATACCCATGTGATCAGAGAGATTAGCTCAAAGACATGATGTTTTGATTATTTGGCCTGGTTACAGCACAGCATCTTCAAAGAAGGGATCAAACCCAGTGTCTCTTCAAGGGATTGCTTCACTCATGATCAAGACAGCTTAATAGACACTTGTCACTTGTCACTAGTTATTTATAGTTTGTAGGCATATAGATTTCTTTTGTATATCCAAGACCTCAAGAAAGTAAAAAAATTTATTGCAGAAATATAAAATAACCGTGATACAATTTTTCCTTCTTTAAATCACTCATTTCTTAAATAGTTCTTGGGGGGGGTTCAACATTGATTAAAACACAGGAAAATATTAAGTGATGAGAGGACAAAGTAAAGGATGAGTCTAGTCATTTCAGATTATTTTTACCTGGATATTTATTCTTCTTTGTATGCACTCACATTTACTACTTCCAAATTCTGCACTTAGAGCTATGAATTCACATTACACAATGAAAACTCAAGTTTTCTTCAATTTGACTTAATTAAAATTTTATTTGTTTATTATTAAAAATATAAATCTCTTAAATACTTCTGCATTGTTTTTAGAATACAACCCATTGTTCTTACAATAGCCTTTAGGAACCAATTTCATCCAACTTCTATCTCCACCACTTCCTCTTCCATTGTCTCTTGAGCACCCTGATCAAGCAAAACATGCATTTCCCCTGCAGAGCCTTTGCATCAGCTGCTTTCTCTGATGGAGTGTTCTTTCCTCAGGTGCTCTTGTGATTCCATGCCTCCTTCATTCAGGTATTTTTACAAATGTATCCTCCTCAGAGAGACCTTTCTTAACCACTCAATCTAAGAGAATATCTATATGACAGTTGATATCATTAAACTTGAATTGTTTCTTACAACAATTAATGACCTACCGTTTTATTACACATTTATTTTTATATTTGTGTTACATGTATTTAAATCTTATCTTCCTAGAAATAAATATTTGAGAGGAGGAATTTTATGGGAACAGAATTTTTTCCTGTCTTGTTTAATACTATTTGTTTAAAATTTCTTAGAGTCACACTGAAGACATAGTAGGCACTCCATAAAAATTTGTTGAGTAAATAAAGAATGCATGAGTCAAAGAAGATTCTTGGCTTGTTGGTTGATTTGAGGCAACATTATTTCACTGAGTGCCAGTATGCAACAGTGGTGTAATTTATTAAATGAATTACAATTTGGAAATTAAAGCCTATATTTATAACCAAAGAGTAGTTGTGGGGAAAGAAAACTTTTCGATTACTTGATAAAATATTTGTTGAACTTGAGGTGTCGGTCAGCTAATTTTTCAATCATAGGTCAGGATGTATTTCCTTAAAGATATAAAATTTATAGACCATAAAATGTTAGTACATATTTTAAATTTTACTTTGATAAATGTACTTATCATACAAGCTCTATAAATTCAGGCATTGTGCTTGATGCTGTTGGTGAGATGCCATATAACCAGTATCTTTGGGGTGCATCTTTCTACCCCTCCGAACATAATGCTCCCACTGGTCTCTGCAAGTGGTGGAACAAGCTGGAAATTCTCTGGAGAGTGAGTTCTTGTATCATTCAGGTAATAATACATATGAAGTACATTTATGGTCAAAAAGCCCTACTGTTAGGGAGTTTATATTTTAGAGGAGGAAGAAGAAAACAAAATAAATAAACCATGCATTAAGATAAATAATAGTAAGTGCAAAATTGTTCATGGCAGCGTGCATGATGGAAGAGCCTGTATTTGTACCCAGTTCACTTTTGTTTTCCAAACCATGTTAATTCTATTACATGAAATGGTGTAAGATAGAAATTACTGTCTGCTTAATTAATGATGCTCGTCTGTTAGATTCCTTCAGAGAAAGATGGGGAGTGGAGGAAAACCCATCTCTTTTGACTGGCCTGCTGACAATCTCTGTCAAATGTAACCTAGTGCAATCCATGTTAAGCATGTCTTAACTATGAGACTGGGTATTGTGATTACACTAGTTCAAAATCTGTTGCCACTGAATAATTTAAAATGTGATGGATATCCACCAGGGAGATAATGATGACATACGAAATGGGAGATATTTACACACATGTGATGATTGTGCAGTGGTCAGATGTCCGCTGCTGTCATCAGCAATTAATGCATGTCCAGCAAGGGGAAAAAACCTGATTTCTAAGAATGACAGGTGAAGGTGTCTTTTCAAGATCTCTGTGTTAGGAAAGCAGTTTTGAATGAGGTGAAATTCTAGCTTTTGGCAAACTCTCCAGGGAATTTTCACTTCGTAAAGAGGATTGGCACTCCAGGACATGTGGCCTTTCACTCTAACTAGCTGTGGTATTTATTAAGCAGTGCCTACTTCCCATGTCTTCTGCATGCAGCCATTTTCTTGCATCATAACAGCTCACAGTTTTGTACTAGGTTTTTTTCCTTGTCCATTACCCCAACTATTTTATTTTTTTCTCATCAACTTCAGTACTACCCAGATTCCTTTTTCTCCTAAGTCTATGAGTAGAATGACAATAGTAAAAGCACCCAGTATAAAAACCCTATCTACCTAGAAAAGGTCTCTTGGTGATTTCTGATTGGTTGTTTTTGCCAGTGATAAAGAAATTTATTATCAATAATAAAGTCTGGGTGAAAGATACAGTTTTTTGGCAACATGGTTACACCAGCAAAGCTGTCTTTTGAGTCCTTATCCAAAGTTTCTCCTTGAACATCATACGTTGAATTGCAGCATCGGCCTTGGTTTGTTTCAAATTGAGCTGTCCCACCTCGGTGGCAGCATGGAGTTGGTTCTGTCACTCTTTACAGAGATGTCTCTGTGCGGCAGGCTGATTCCTGGCATGTCCTTGAAGCTCTGCACTGTCCTTCTTGGGCACGCCTCTTCTCCTTGTTTCTTAGTTGTTCTGTCCTCGTCAATTTCCTTCACACGCCAATCCTGTCAGAGTTGAGTTTCCACAATTGTGTCAAGTCTGAAGAAGAAAATGCATCCTGAGCCCTGAAGAGTGGGGATTTTGTTTTGCCTGCTGAGGTTATACAAGTAGTTTCTGCACAAAAATTCACTAAAGGGCTGGGACACAGAGAAGAACTCTCATAAATTGAAAGTGGGACTATGCACTTACTTTGCCTACTTCGATGTTGATGCAGATGCTGAGGCCAGGATACTATGTACTCAGGTACCAATTTGAGGTGTCTGTCATTAATAAAGATTTTAAAAAGCATATAAATATGTTCATGGAGAAATTAGCTAATCCAAAAGTTACCAGTGATTTCATTTTCCCTCCGTCAAGATGTGCAAATATACAGCAGGAAAGTCAGCCACAGTTAACTAGCTGGTTAAAAGACAAGGGGCACAATCTATTTTTCTCATCTGGACACGCAGAATGATAAAAACATTATTTGGCTATTCTTCTGGTTTTGCACCCTACTTTTTTTACTTACTATTTTAACTTTCTTTCATGCCACGTTATTTCTTAAATAGCATTTTAAATTATACAGAATATTACATGGAGTGGATATACCATAAGTGATACAATCATTTCCCATTTTATTGTTATTTAAACTCTCCCTCAACTTTTTGCTAAAAATAAATGATGCTTCACTGAACATTTTCATAGATGTAGTTTTTCTCTCATCATTGCTGATATATGTTTAGTTCTTGGAAACAGGGATTAAAGTAAACAGATATTAATGTATTTTATAAGCTACCAAATTGCATTGCTATGAGTTTTATCAAGGTGAGAACCACATTAAAAACCTTGACAGTAATGTGCTGTAATTCATTGAACTTTCTTCTGCCAGTTAGTACTATTATTATTTTCACTATTATTATTATTCCACATATATTATTATTATGCTATAATCATATGCTAACTTCAACATGTTGCTTTTTATAAATCTTTATTTTTATTCTTTCCTATTTTTATTGTGATATTGACATAAGGCAAGTACAGTGTGGTTTTTCTTTTTCTTTTTTGATTCTGTGTAAAAGTGAGGTCATATAATATTTGTCTTTCTCTGTCTGACTTATTTCACTTAGCAAAATGCCATCAAGTTTCATCCATGTTGTTGCAAATGTCAGGATTTCTTCCTTTTCATCACTGAACAATATTCCACTGTGTGTATAGATATCTATATCTATATGTGCAGATAAATACACAAGATCACATTTTCTTTGTCCATTCATCCATCAGTAAATATTACGTTGTTTCCATGTCCTGGCTGTTATAAGTAATACTGCCGTGCAAATGGGGTGCAGATGCCTTTTCAACATAGTGTTTTGGTTTCCTTCAGATATATTCCCAGAAGTAGAATTGCTGTATCATATTATAGTTCTATTTTTAACTTTTTGAGAAACTTTTATACTGTTTTCTATAGTGGCTACATCAATTTACAATCCCAACAACAGCACAAAGGCATTTCCTCTTCTTCATGTACTCAAGCATTTATCTCCTGAGGTTTTTTACAGCTCTTTTTAAAAATATATTTTATGTTTATAGCAGCACAATTTACAATAGCTGGAAGCAACCTAGGTGCCCATCAGTAAATGAATGAATCAAAAAATGGTGGTACATATACACAATGGAATTCTATGCAGCAGAGAGAAAGAAGGAGCTACTACCCTTTGTAACAGCTTGGATGGAACTGGAAAGCATTATGCTGAGTGAAATAGGCCAGGCATTGAAAGACAAATACCATATGACCTCACCTTTAACAGGAAGCTAAACAACAAAACAAACAAGCAAGCAGAATAAAAACAAAGACACTGAAATAGAGAACAAGGGGACTGTGACCAGGGGGGAGAGGGGAGGGAATTTCAGTGGGAAAAGGGGAAGGATTTACAGGAACAAGTATAAAGGACACATGGACAACAAGTAAGGGGGGTGGAAATGGGAGGGAGGTGGGGAGCACGGGGTGGGGTGGGCTGGGATGGGAGTAAAAGACAGAATACTGTAGTTGAAAAATAATTAAATTAAAAAAATTTTAAGAAATAAAAATTTTAAAATTCTTTAAAAATAATATATATATTATTGATTATGCTATTACAGTTGTGCCAATTTTTCCCCTTTATCCCCCTCTGCCCTGCTACCCCCCACCTTCAGCATTCCCCCCTGCTTAGTTCATGGGTCCATGAGTTGTACATGTAAGTTCTTCTGCTTCTCCATTTCCTATACTATTCCTTTTTTAAAATATTTTATTTATTTATTTATTTATTTTTAGAGAGAGGGGAAGGGAAGGAGAAAGAGAGTAAAAGAAACATCAATGTGTGGTTGCCTCTCATGTGTCCCCCACTGGGTACCCAGCCCACAACCCAGGCATGTGCCCTGACTAGGAATTGAACCAGCGACATTTTGTTTGCAGTACATGCTCAATTCACTGACCCACACCAGCCATAGAACACCAACCAGAGCTCCTATACTATTCTTAATCTTCCCCTGTTTATTTTGTACCTACCAAATATGCCTCTTATTTCCTGTATCATTTCCCCCATTTTCCCCCTTTCCACTGATAACCCTCAATGTGATCTCCATTTCTGTGATTCTGTTCCTGTTCTAGTTTGCTTAGTTTTTGTTGTTTTTTTTAGGTTCCTTTGATGATAGTTGTGATTTTGTTGTCATTTGGCTGTTCATAGTTTTTGATCTTCTCTTCCTTAGATAAGTTCCTTTAACATTTCATATAATAAGGGCTTGTCGATAATGAACTCCTTTAACTTGACCTTATCTGGGAAGCATTTTATCTGCCTTTCCATTCTAGATGATAGCTTTGCTGGATAGAGTCATCTTGGAGGTAGGCCCTTGCCTTTCATGATTTCAAATACATTTTTCCAGCCCCTTCTTGACTGAAAGGTTTCTTTTGAGAAATCAGCTGATGGCCTTATGGGAACTCATTTGTCTCCCTTCCTCTTGTTCCTTTTAAGATTCTTTCCTTACTTAATCTTGGGTAGTGTTATGATGTGTTTTGGCATGTTTCTTCTTGGATCCAACTTCTTTGGAACTCTCTGGGATTCTTGGACTTCCTGGAAGTCTATTTCCTTTGCCACGTTGGGGAAGTCGTCCTTCATTATTTGTTCAAATAAGTTTTCAATTTCTTGCTCTCCCTCTTTTCCTTTTGATTCAGATGTTGGAATATTTAAAGTTGTCCTGACAGTTCCTAACCCTTTAATTTATTTGAATTCTTATTTCTTCATTCTGTTCTGGTTGAATGTTTATTTCTTCCTTTCGTTCCAAATCATTTAAGTCCTGGTTTTATTCATTCACTGTTGGTTCCCTGTACATTTTCCTTTATTTCCATTTGTATAGCATTCATTTCTTCTCTCATTTTGTGACCAAACTCAATCATTTCTGTGAGCATCCTGATTACCAGTGTTTTGAACCTTGCACCTGAAAGATTGGCTATCTCCTCGTCGCTTAGTTCTTTTTCTGGAGCTCTAGTCTGTTCTTTCATTTGGGCCATGTTTCTTTGCCTCAGCACACCTGTTACATTGTAAGGGGTGGAGTCTTGGGTGTTCACCAGGGTGGGGCAACTGTCTTTGCAGCTTCATGGCAGTGTCCTTGGAGGAGGGATCCAAGAGTGAACAGTGCTGCTTGCATGACTCTCACCCACTTTCAGTCACTTCCCCCACTTCCCACCAGTGGATTGTGACCTTTCAGATGCTGATTCCCCTGTGGGTGTGTTTGTGTATGCCCTAGGACCCTGTGAGTCTCTCCAACAGACTCTCCTGTGAGGCTGAGAGTTTCTCCCACTGCCACAATAGCCACAGGTTCTTACAGCCAGAGGTTTTGAGGCTGTATTTCCTGGCACTGAAACCCTGGGTTGTGTGGTCTATCTCTCCCCCCAGTTGTTCCTCCCGGGCTATCTGTGCACAAATGTGGTACTGCCTGGACAGCCAGCTCCGCCTTGCTTGGGCAGTTTGTCACCTTACCGCATGCCCTGTCTGCCCCAGCTGCCTGTCCCCATCCCTCCTTCCGGTCTGGATGAATGTTTCTTTAACTCCTAAGTTGTCAGACTTCCATGCTGTTTGTTTTTCTTGCAGTTCTTATTGTTTTGGGGGTTTTATTTTATTACTCTTTAAACTTTTTAAAAATTGTTCTTCAAGTACAGTTGTCTCCATCAACTGGTTTTTGTTTTTAAATGGGTTGTTACCCTTCTTTTGATTGTGTGAGAAAGTGGACCATTTCTACCTACGCCTCCATCTTGGCCAGAGCTCTGTCTCTGGAGTTTTGATGCTATCTATTCTAACGGGTGTGAGGTGATATCTCATTGTGGTTTTGATTTGCATTTCCCTAATGATTAGTGATGGTCAGCACCTTTTCAAGTACCTGTTCCTCTTTGTATATCTCTTTTAGCTGCTGTGTAATCAAGTCTCTGGCCTATTTTTTAATTAGATTTTTTTTGTTGTTTTTGCTACTGAGTTGTATGAGTTCTTTATGTTTATTTAATATTAACTCCTTATGATTTATGGTTTGGAAATATCTTCCCCATTTGGTAGGTTGTCTTTGTATTTTGTTGATTATTCCTTTTGCTGTGAAGAAGCATTTTAGTTTAATACAGTTGCACCTGCTTATTTGTTATTTTGTTGTTGTGCTTTAGGTGTCATATCTAAAAATCATTGCCAAAACCCACGTCAAAGAGCTGTATGCCACCGCCTTCTAATTTAGGAGTTTCATGGTTTCAGTTGTCAGCTGAAACTGGACTCTCATCTTATACTACTGACAAAAGTCAACTTTGAGTTAATTTTTGTGAGTTATATAAGTGTCTAGCTTAACTTTTTTACATGTAAATATACAATTTTCTCATTTACTGAAGAAAATGCCTTTTCTCCATTGATTACACTTGGCACCCTTGACAAATATTAGCTGACTGCATAGTTTTATTTCTGGGTTCCTGATTATACACCATTGGTTTATTGTCTATTTTTATCACAGTACCATATATTTTGATTATTATAGTTTTATAACATAGCTCAGTTTCA